AGTCTGATCAAGTCGATTTCAATCTAATACAAATCTAAATAACTCAATTTGAGATAACTCGTTTCGATTTCGAGCTGGATTGAACCCAATTTAATTTCATGCCGCGCTGGCTGAACATCAAATATAACGAGTCACACATATTTTTTTTTGAGCCACACTTATTTTATTCGAGCCAATTTTAAGCTAATCTCAGCTCAGCCCAAAATCAAACCGTTAGCGAAACGATCTGTTAGCTTATATATCACAAATAAGATTCACCCGCAATTAATTTTATTTTGTGAATACTTAATGGATAGTGTCTTATTTTTTGTTCCATTATATGTTTATTTATTTTCTTATTTGGTGTCTATAAACAAAATTTAACGTATTTTCTTCTGTCCCCATTTCAATCTATTTATTATAGATAATGTAAATTAAATAAATTTAATTTAAAATTTCACAACCTTAATTTTAATTTTTAAAATTTTATTTACTTTCACTAGATAACGGTACAATTACATTAATATATTAAAAGAATAAAACAAATGTATACCTATCATTCCACGTAGCTCAAGAGAAAGATTAATTAAAATAAATAAATATTATATATATTTTAATAATAATCAATAAAAGACAAATACTTGATTTAGATGTAATATTCATTGACCATTATTTGAGATGATTAAAAATAAATAAATAAACATGTTCATTGAATAAAATAAAAAAAGATAAGCTCTGGCGTAGGGTTTAGTTCGAAGTGTATCTCCATGTCGTATGCTCGTTATGCATTTAAGAGTCCGTTTGGAGAGACTGTAATTTTTATAAAAAGTTATTGTAAATATATTGTGGGAAAATTAATTTTATTTTTAAATTATAGTCAATATTATAAATAATTTATTTATTGAAAATTTTAAAAATAGTTTTAGTTTAGCAAATATACTTTAACATTTATGGTTATTAAAAAAATAGCTTCCCACCACATAAATTTTAATAAAATAATAAATAAAAAGTAGCCAAATGCATATGTGATAGGGGTCTAAAAAATAGTGATGTGGGAGAACTGCCCTAAATCGATCATATATTTCTTCAAACATAAGAAAAAAAAAGCTCATAAAGCACATAATAAAGAGTAATATAAAGTCCAAATAGAAATAAACAAGATTTTTTATTTGCAAAAATGTTAAGAGAATTTCATATCATGAACATAAATGCAATAGTAATGTAATAGTAAAAAAAACATGGCCCAAATTATGTAAAATAATAAATGAATTGAATATGAAAATTGAAATAAAAACTTAAGAGAAACACAAATATCAAAAGAGTAGAAACCAACTTCTTTTAGTACTAAATGAAATTGTAATGTTTGCTAATATCTTGTGGCATAGTTTTATTTTTGCTCATTTGTAGATTGTAGCACTAGAATAACAAATAAGTTTGATGATAATAAACATAGGTGAAAAGTGAAAGAGATTGTGAAATCTATTATTAGATTGTTTTCAAATATTAATGGCCAAAGTCCAACATAGAGGAGGAAGGCATGTTTGTAAGGAGAGTGTTGCATCATGATTTGATAGTAGTCAAATAATTAACAAATAATCATATCATAAAAGAGAAAGGGAAAGAATGATTCACCGATTATCTTGAGTAATTAAAATAAAAAAAATGAAATGTAATTTAGAAAGAAGTATCAATAAAATATATTGAATTTCTAGGAACTTCCATTTTTCTTATTCTCAACATTTTTGAAACCATAAATTGTAAACCTCTGAAGATTTAATAAAATATATATGGAAGTATATTCTTCCATATTATTGATGTTTAATTGATTCATAAAGGGATCTCATTGAAAGTTTATAGCCAAAGAAAGAAAGATGAAATCATCACCATTTAATATAAAAAAGAATCACAATCATTACCGAGTTATTCCTTACAAATTAAAGACATCAGTCAAACATTGCATTATACAAAAAAAATGTCAGAATTTATGAGAGAAAATTAAATTTAGTACTGACATTAGATTAAATATACAAAAATCTTAAGTTCAAATCTTTCAAATAAGGAAATTCCTTTTACCCAATAATAAAAATGACCCATTATCACTCATTATTGTTCTTTCTTATATATGCATATATCTGTAGAAATACTAAATTCTAGGAGTGTATTTCATGAAAAGTATTTCTCTAAAAATTTGATCTGTTGCTTAGCGACAAGCAATTGCAAAAAAAAAAAAGATAGAAACAAAGGGAAAAGAGTTGATAGTTTTATTCCTTAAAAAGTTAAGATAAAATTAGTATTTTTTATCTATAAGACAAAAGCTAAAAGTAAATAAAACAGCCAGTCTTAATAAAAATTTGCAAGCATAAAGAAGTAAATTAAAAAAATTGACCTAAATGTGCAAAATTAAATAAAAAACTTTGTGATTTTGGACTTTAACATGTATCATTTGTACATCATTTGAAATTGACTTTATCGTTAATGTCATATTTTGGAAGCATTTATAGTTTGGATATGAAACCGAAAAGCATCTTCAAGTTGTAGATCTTAATGAACCAATATCTAAGAGATTGGCTTTTCTATTGGTTGTATGTAATATTATTGGCATGATTGCTAGTGGTTGGACGATCAAATGTTCCTCTAAGATCTGAAAGTAAACAAATCATTGGTAAAATAAGATGTTTTATGATGAGGCTTTAAAAATGAAACATAAAAATTGGATGAATGTATGCAGTTGATAGTAAATCCAATTTATGGACTACACTTCCATTATGTCGAAGCATCCCAAAAAGCCCAAAGTAGCATTTGGTTAGTATGAATAATTGTTAGCGAGTAAAAAAGACTTGTTGATAAGGTTGAAATCGAACAAGGATGTAATCTCCTATTTGAAAAACTACTTCATGTTGTTTTTTTATTAGCAAGCTATTTCATTTGCTTAAATGTGACACATAGATTGAGACAAAGTTGTTATAAAATTTTGTTACAATTAATAAGGTTATTTTTATGATTTCCATAAAGGAAGTGTAGATGATATCCATAACTAATGTAGGTTCTAGACATCCATAAATTATTTCAAGTAAGGTTTATTTTGATAAAGAGTTATGTTGGCCCATGAAAAAATAGTCACCAATTATAAAAGTTTCTCTGTTACAAAAAATTATATTCAATGCTAAGATTTGTTATTAGAAGCGAACTCTTTTTCATAATAATAATAAATTAGGGGGGGAATTCAACAATAAAAGCAAAAGATTATCATATTTTGATAATCAATCTGCTATTGAAAATAAAGGTTCTATCATTAGAGTTCGAAAGATTATTGAGAAAATTTATGAATGTATTCCCATTTTGCATTTGGGACATTCAACGAATTTAATAATTCTACGAATTTAGGGAGCTATGATTTTGCATGTTTATAGACACATGTTTTAACAAACATTTTAATTTGATCGTTCAATTTGTGCCAATAAAATTATTGAACAATTTATGAAAGAGGACATTAAAAACCTTCATGTCTTGCCATGGGTGTAGAATAAATTTTGTTCTTTATGAAGCTTTTTTAATTGAAATCTATAGGTAAAATAACTTGGCCTTTCCATAGAATGAAAGAATTTTTAGTGGTGCATTTATATATTCATAAAACGTTCAAAGCTTTGGTATGCATCCAAAGTGTTTCTAACAAAGAGCAAGCGGTAGAAGACAAAGCCATGTAACTTGTTGATTGGTTTGAACATATGGCTTGCAAAACTGAATATGAAATTTAACATTGCATTCATTTTGGAGGATTGGTTAAAAGAGAAGGCATAATGAGAAACTCGCAATCATCATAAGAGGTGCAAAATAGAAGAAAAATGTTGGGCTCATTCATTCATGTTAAGAATCCAACATATTTATCTAATTTGGAGTACAATGTGGTACATAATAATTCATAAAAAAAGTTCACCAATCATATGTAAAGAAAATAATCAATGTAAATATACTATTTATTAAATTTTTTTTCCCTAAGGATAAGATTGGGGACATAAACAATTTATGACTGAGACAAATTATACCAAAATTTAATATTTTTTGACTATTTTTTTTTTAATTTAGATTTTGGAAATGTGAATAATGATGAGGTCGAATATTAATTGATTTGAAATTTGGTTTAAAGACGGTTTGACGACAGAGTTATTGGTTTATCATAAATATTTAAAATGAGGAGGTGGGACAAAGCAACATTTTACATGGATCAATAGAAAATAGGCTTATGAGAGAAAGGAATTGTTGCCATTATTTTTCTAAATTTGTGAAAGTGAATAAATGTTAACAATGGGTGTGAATTGGATGCGGTGGGAGCCGACAGCCAACTTTGGTAGCTATAGGATGAAGTGATGCAAAAAATTGATACCAGTGGCACCATTTTTTATGTGGTTCTCCATGTTCTAATTAACTTGTAAATTTGTTGCATTAATAGATATGCTATGTTATAAATATTCATTTAATTCAACATACATAAAAAATTTGCATGAAATGATGATCATGCTTTTAAAATATGAAAATTTTCAATTACTTGGAATAAAATAGGCTGAGTACATGCATATAACACTGTTGTGCACTGAATGCACGTGCACATAATAATTTTTTACAAAATTTGGGTGATATAAATGAAAAAAAATAAAATTTAGATGTTGGATTGTAAATACACAACAATTGGGTGGTATGTAAGTAAATGCCCTAAAAAAATTAAATTATTGAAGAAATGCATTATTATTAATTTTTAACAATAATTGAATTCATATAGGCTTAGATGACTCCTAAGACCTAGGATATACAGACCTATATAATAACTCTGACACCTCACTATCATTAATCTTAGTTACTGTTTACATGGGCCAAATAGTAAAATATTACCGTTTTCCAGATCAGGCCTAATTTTTTTTAATGTTTTAAATAATATTTAATTGTAAAATAAAATTATTAGATAATTATAATCAGTTCGATCATGTAAGAGGGAAGTCTGGCAGGTAACGGGCATTGAGAGGCCGATGGCCACTGGGTACAGGCCGCAGGTCATCATTTTCCACCGGCATCTCCCGGTCACAGTGAACTTTTTCTTCAGTGAAGCTTACAGTACATTCCATGCCCCCATTTCCAGCAACAATTTCGGTTCCCTCTCCCACATTTTCTCCTCGTTTCTCTCTCCGCTCCTTCCAACCATTTCGCTCGATTCCAGCTCACTAGCACTCTATATAGAGAGCGTCAAGCCCCAGTTTTCGATCCGATAGTCTTCTTCTCTTCTAGCATTTAGCTCTTTCTGTCTTGCAGGGAAGAGATCAACTGATCATGGTGTTTACTTGTGTTTGTTTTCCTAATGCCTCACGGTTCACCGAACATTCCGCGATGAAGATCTTGGGAATTGTGTTGCTTCTGGGTTTCGGTACTTCTGTACTGAATCTATAGCCTTTCTGTCGAAATTGTTTGTCACGAACCCTAAAGTTGACATCTTTGGGGACTTTATTGTGTTAATCTGTGCTTTCTATGGAGGAGTTGATCAGGAGGAGGAATGGAGGTAATGGGTTTATTATCCAGTGCGTTTCTGTAAGTTTTTGAGTTTGAGATCTGGGGGATTGTAGTAGGTGTTTCTTTTACCTCCATGTCTGGGGCTCCAAAGCTCCGTTCTATGAATGTGACGGAATCAGACTCCCGGCCGATTCTAGGGCCAGCTGGAAATAAAACGAGGTTAACGACAATGTACCGGAAGCAGGCTTCGAACCTGCCGAGGGGGACGGAGAAAACTCAGTCGGAGTTAAAGGAGGAGAAGAAAGACTTAGCAATGGAAAGGGAGACTCAGCCATCATCGCTGCCAACGAGTCCTGTCGCGGTTCTGAGGAGGCAGAAACTGCTGTTGCAAGCTAATTTATCGATGGATGCTTCTTGCTCTTCGGACGCATCTACTGATTCCTTCTGCAGTCGTGCGTCGACGGGATTATTTGGCCGGAGGAGTTTTACCTCTAAGGGAAGACAGGGTGTTCCGAAACCTGAGAAGATTGTGGGTGATGGTGCTGTGATAGAAGCTACGGAGATCATGCAGATGAAGAAGAGGTGTGCTTGGGTAACACCTAACACTGGTTTGTTCTCCCATCATTCATTTCTGCATTGTGTGTTGAAATGATGAATGAATGCATCATTCCTGTTCATTTTCTTTAGCACTAATTAACTTCTAATAAAGTTTGCAAGCTGAAGGATTTACTACAAAGTAGAATTGTCACATTGCTTCAAGTTAAACAAGGCCATGCCTTGACTTCCATTAATTTACTATCTTTTTAAGGCAAACAAAAAGACGGTGTTTGGGCTTGGCAGCCAATTAGATCTAAGACATTGTTTGCTTGGAATCTTATAGTTTAGTGTTTTTGTTTAACTCTGCACTACAGGTTTAAAAGTTCTTTTTTTGAATTCTGAATAAGTTGCTACATGTTCATCCATGATTTTTTCTTTCATTCTTTGAAGTAAAAATGCTTTTTTTTTGTTTATTATTGTGAATAATGATGGTACTCATGGGTCCTATAACTGGTGGTGAATTTTCATGTACTTTATAATACAGTTTGAGTTCTGTCTTTTAGTTGAAAATTATGAATTGTCAAGGACTTGCATGCAATATGCATCTACACCGCAAATACATTTTGTTAAAATGCATGAACTGGAAGGGAATAATTGTCAAAATTGAAGGACAGTGTAGGCAGTTATTATTGTAGGAATCAAGTTGGTATAACGTTATGCTGTGGTCAGACATCAGATTTTCACATATAAATTCTGGCAAAACAAATTTATTTCTTCAATAACAAAAACAACACAACACATAATGGATAAACACCTACAATTTGAGAGGTAGGCCATATCTCCCAAATTCTATAATTAAAGGGGTAGATAATCTCTCCCAAACCCTTACCTTAAGACTCAAGACAATCTCATGCACCACCTAACCCTAAATATATTAACCCTATTTATAGAGCACAATAGTAACTGATAAAAGACTAAATTGTCATTAAGTACCAACGTAACAATGCTCCCTCTCAAAAAGACACCTTGTCCTCAAGCTGAAAAAAAGTGAAGGTGTTCCTTCCCCTCCTCAACTACAACCTTCTTTGTTTTTGCATCTCCTTTCTTTTCATCACATACTGTGAGAACTTGTAAGGTCTGATCATTACAACGGTGTCCCGGGGCAAACTCATCACACCGAGAACATAACCCTTTTGCTCGCTTCTCCTGAATCTTTGTCTCTGTAAAATACTTGAGTGTTGCCTCCTGTTCTGACCCATTATTCTTGTCTTCCAGAGCCTCCTAATGGACTTCTACTGTATAAGCTTTTGTTATCGTTGTGGTTGGAGCAGTTTAGTATGACGCTCCATATGGCTTCTTCTATTTGCTCGTTCCATTACGTTTCTATTTTCAACCAACTGTGCTAGTTCCATAGTTTCTCCCAAGCCTTGCGGTCTTAGCGTATGAAGTACTACCATATATTGGGCTTTAGTCATTTCATCAAATTTCTCTCAAATACTACTTCAAAAACCCTCCTAAGACGTCCCGACAATAGCTCGAATCTCTTCTTATACTTCATAATAGTCGCTTCTCGTGTCAATGCAAAGAATTCCTTAATGCAGATCTCTTTCCCGAATTGCTTGAAAACATTTCAACAAGCAATTCTTAAATTCCTTCAATGATCGGATCCCTCCACTAAAATCATGTTATGGCTTTCCCCTTCAAACATAATCCTACCGTCGTTAAGTTTTTCTCCTCATTTCACTCATTCATTGTGAAACATCACTTCACGCGGTACACCCACCCATTCACATCTTCTCCCTCGAAAATCAAAATCTTTAACTTTCTAACCCTAGCATCTCCACCCCAACTTCCTCTCCCTCTAGTGTTTTCCCCCTTTTACCTCTTCGATCATAGCTATATCCCGTTCCACTTCTCTCCTTCATTCTTCATGCTCCTCCATACTCCTTGCATAACTTCTTCCCTATGTTTCGGCTCAACCACCTCCATTGGAAATATCTGATTCACCCCACATCGAAACCCTGGGAGGGGTTCTTGATTGTGCATGATTTCCTCCTCGTGTTCCTCTCATCTGATTTCTTTCCCTTTCAATTTAGCCAATGATTCTTTTGTCAATATTTAGTTAGGGTTTGCAAATTGAACTACTAACAGGGTCTTAGATTGAATCTTGATAAGTCTCCTCGTCATCTCGTCCAAACTCTTGAATTTGTCAATCAGGAAGGATGAATTTCATGCAACTAAATTAGGTGTTTTTTATAATTATAAGCATCCTGATTTCCAATATCTTTATTCTGATTTATTTCTCTTTTAGCTGAATATTTAGATTAGGAATATGTAAAGTTACCTAAAATAGATTATGCACTTTATTTTGTACCTAAAATAGATTCTAAGATTGCTATTTAATTGAATGAAAACAAAAGGAAAAGACAATCGAGCTTATTCAAGATTCATCATATTTTTCTCAAAACTTTGACATGGTATCAGAGCCAAGCTTTTGTCCTAACTGATAGTCGTTGGAGAATTGTCAAGGCTCCCTTCCTGCCGGCATTCTTGCGGGACGGGAAGGGAAAAACTTTTCCTTTAGAAGAAAAAAAAAAACGCTGTCGTCTGCTCTTTGTCTAGCTCTGCTTCCTCCATCGCACATAGAGTCGCAGAGGATCTCGCTGTCGTCTGCTTCATACTTTGTACCGTCGCACGCAGGCGATCCTCCCGTCGACTTCCTCTATGGCAGGCTCGTTTGCTTCGTTTTCATCTTTTGCGCACCGGAAAAGTAAAGGGAGAGGAAGAAACAGAGAGGCTCGAACCACCCGCGACACAGTGAAGATGATGTCCGGCAGTGATGACACAACCATTGATAACTAGAAAGTCTCCGGATATGTACCGGCGGTTTCCGGCCCGGACCACGTCTCTAAGTTCACATAGTCTAACCTAAATACTTTATGCCGTCCGAAGCGAAGGGCAGGATTACAGGCATTTTCAAGCCACCGAGCGATGTAGATGACACGTTCTCGAAACCAAATGATGGGATTTCCGACGATACGCAGACAGAGTTGATGCGAAAGTTCATGGTGTTTGCTTACAAGCCCTACTTCGATGTTGATACTTCAGATGGGTTGGTTAGGATTAAAGAGTCACTTTTCCCATTTAAGGTGAGCTTTACAGAGATGACGGGCAACAACCCAGATTTGTATGGGCCGTTTTGGATATGCCCAACTTTAACATTTGCAGTAGCTTCAATAGGGACTTTCGTCACGAACCTGACACACAAGTTTCAGAAGAAGGAATGGGATTATGACATTTGGTCACACAGTCTGCTGGTTGATTCTATGATTATGTCACTATTGTTCCTCTTGGATTATACATTATTCTCAAATACTTCTTCACACCTTTAGGACTCTTTATGAAATGTTTGCTGCTCTTCTCATGAAGAACAAGGCGGAAAAAAAAGAATTATGTTTTGAAGGAGATATAACTTATTCTGAAGTGCAAAATCCATTTGTTGTGGAATACAAGGATTCTTGAGTTAAAAAAAAAACTGTTATGTTTGTATTATTATTCGTTTGATTTGGATTTTCTTCACTAGACATCGCTGCTTCTGTGGCATCTTCGACTGCCTCTTACGCTTCGCGTCGTCCGCTTAAGTTTTGGCTTCGACACTCCTTAAATCGATGGCCTCGGCTTCGGCTTCAGCAAACCATTGATCTTAGGCTTCAACACTCTTGGGCTTCGACACTCTTAGGCTCGGCTTCTCGGGTTTCTACACTTTTTGGGCTTCGGCAATCTCGGGCTTCGGCCTCTCGGGCTTCGGCCTCTCGGGCTTCCACTTTTTGGGCTTCGGCAATCTCGGGCTTGGCCCTCTCGGGCTTCGGCCCTCTCGGGCTTCGGCATTCTCAGGCTTCAGCATTTTTAGGCTTCGGCATTTTTAGGCTTCGACACTTTGGGCTTCAGCATTTTCAGGTTTCGACACTCACGACTTGAGAATTTTTTGTCCCGATAGTGTTATCAGTTTCTTGTTAGCAAATTGATGCTTCCTGATCAGTCACCATCAATTTGAGGGGGATGTCAATCCGGAAGGACGGAAATCAGGATGTCAATCCGGAAGGACGGAAATCAGACAATTAAATTAGGAGTTTTTTATAATTAAAAACATCTTTATTTCCATCTTTATTTAGATTTATTTCTCTTTTAGCTGAATATTTAGATTAGGAGTATGTATTATTAAGTTACCTAAAATAGATTATGCACTTTATTTTGTACCTAAAATTGATTGTAAGATTGTTATTTAATGGAATGAAAGCAAATGTAAAAGGCAATCGAGCCTATTCGAGATTCATCCTATTTTTCTCAAAAATTTGACAGAATTGGTTGTCAATGGATGAAATTTTTTAGTCTTTGGTTGAGAACCTTTTTTGCTATCCCGAATTTGATTTGATTCACTTCTTTCTCCAATTTCTTCTTCAAATCATCTATTTTCTTGGCTTCTATTGGTGCATATATGACTCCAAAACTTTTTTTTAATGTGATCCCATCGTTGGTTTCATTTGTAACAGAAATTAGGGCAAAACATATTTCCTTCTTCAATAACACAACAACAAAACACATAAATGATAGATACCTACAATTCGAGAGTTATGCGATTTCTCCCAAGTCTTACAATTTGAGAGGTAGTAAATCTCTCCCAACCCTAAATAAATTAATCCTAAGACTCAAGTTACAATCTCATGTATCACCTAACAGTAAACATATTGACCCTATTTATAGTTCACCATAATAGTTGATAAAAGACTAAATTGCCCTTAGATTAATAAAAGATTAAATTTCCCCAAGGACTAACGTAACAGGCTAGCAATAAAAATTCTATATTTTTTAATACAATTCATGAAGGCGGAAGTTTGGGAGATATTAGAAGATGACCCCTTGGATCTTTTCATCATCTTTCCCACTCTATTGATATGCTTGTGCTTCATTTTGAAAAACTCTGTTTTCAAGTGGTAGGTAGGTACTTGCATGTTGAGAATCTTGTTATTTGAAGGGTCATTTACATACATTCAACTTAATTCTTATGTATTTATATTTCTAACACCTAAATTGTACTTTTTACATGTATACCTCCCAATCCTTCATATCACATAAAAAAATAGCATTATTTTAACTTTTAAAATGTGAAATACAGCTTTTCATACATAGATAAGGTGGCATGCTTGTAAAAATTGAAGCTTTGGTGTTAGATATGTAAATACATAGGAATTGAGTGGTAAATGTAAATTTTCCTATTTCAGAATATGCAGAATTGATGCAATCATGTATAAAAACTTGAATATGATGTTGATTTAATCTGTTTTGGCAGATTCATCTTATGTGATCTTTCATGATGAAGAGTGGGGTGTTCCTGTCCATGATGATAAGTATATTTCCTCAATAACTTGAATTCTGTCTGTTCAGAGAAACTCAAGAATTTCAATCCCTGATGATATAAAAATTCTACAGGAAACTATTTGAATTGCTTGTACTGTCAGGTGCTTTAGCCGAACTTACTTGGCCAGAAATCCTTAACAGAAGGCAAATATTCAGGTATCATTCAATCCTATATATTTACATGCATACCACTAAATTCCTATATATTTACATATCTAACACCTAAACTTCAAGTTTTACATATATGCCATCTTATCCACACATAAGTGATATGTATGTAAATGCCCCATAGATAAGTTATGCTGAATCTATATGTTGGAATAACTTCTTCTGAACCAACTGATACAGGGAAGTCTTCATGAACTTTGATCCTGTGCTGATTTCAAAAATGAATAAGAAGAAGCTAATCTCCCCAGGAAGCATCGCGAGCTCCCTTCTTTCAGAGGCAAAACTTCGAGCTGTTGTCGAAAACGGACAACTAATCGTCAAGGTTCGTTCACATATCTTCATCATTTTTCTCTTTCTAAGCCTTTTGCAGCAGCATTTTTTTCTCATAGAGAGTAATTCTGTAAAAATAACACTCACTGATTACACGAGGTCATTTTAGTCTAAAAGTCTATAGAAGTGACAAATTAGTCTCTAAATTCTTTTTAAGTTGGGCTGAAATAGTCCTCTATGGAGATTGTTTCAGCTAAAAGTAAAAGGAGTGAGGGGACTAAATTGAAACTTTATAGAATTTGAGACTAAAATGATCCCCTACAAGTGAGGCTGTCGAGCATCATTAATTGCTCGGAAATTGATTCAAATTTTGACTCGTATCGAGATCAGATCAAAATAAACAAGCCGAGCTACGAGCCAAAGATTTGGATCAAAATTTTTTCGAACAGACCCCAACTTGACTCGAAACCATTTCGTTAACAACCCCATGATGTTAGAGTTGTGAATTTAGTGAATTTAGCTCGGAGATCGTTACAATAACAACAACAACCACAAAAACTAAGCTTTATCCCACTAAGCGGGAGTTGGCTACATGAATCCTTTTTTTCACCACATCTTATTGAATTTAGCTCGAAGATCAGTAATCGCTCGAAGATTGATTCGAATATTGGTTCGGATCGAAATAAAAGTGCTGAGCTCCAAGTCAAAATTTTGAATTGAATTTTTTTCGAGTTGATTTTGAGTTGACCTAAGATCAGCTCGAAATTGGATCATTAACAGCCCTACCTACAAAGAGTCAGGGAATCATTTTGACACTTTTGACGTTGGAAAAACAATTTTGAAGCTTGAATGTTTTAGTTCTTCAACCCATATCCATTCATTCTATATACGTCAATGTTTTGCCAGCCATCAGTTGGCCCAAACCTCCTAGTTGATGACTGCAGCTTAGCAATCATTGTCTGCCATGTGAAAAAGGAATCTAAATTTAATGAACTCCAGGTAATAATAATGGAAGATTTACATACATACCACTCAATTCCTATGTATTTATATATCTAACACTTACAATTTTTATATACATGCCACTTTTCCTATGCACGAGAAGGTGTATTCCACTTATTAAAAGTTACAATGGCGGTATTTTTGATGTGATATGAGCAATTTGAATGGTATAAATGTAAAATATAAAGTTATGCATAGGAATAGAGGGGTTGTATGTAAATGACCCCCCCTTTTTTTAAAAAAAATTATATATTTATATAAAATATTCTTGAAGCATTAGCTAAGGAAAGTCTATATATCTTTTAAGGTTTTAGTATGTGAATGAGCAAAATAAAAAAGCATGCACAGATGGCTCTTCATCACAATTTTTAGGAAGAATTACACACATACCACTCATTTCTTATGTATTTACGTATCTAACATCTAAACTTCATTTTTTAACATACACACCACTTTATCTAAGCATGAAGCAGTGTATTTCACTTTTTAAAAGTTAAAATGGTGGTGTTTTTGACATGATATGAATCCTTTGGGTGGTATAAATGTAAAAACTAAAATTTAGGTGTTAGATATGTAAATACATAGGAATTGGGTGGTATGCATGTAAATGCCCCAATCATAATAATAATTACTAATTTATTACTTCACCTAAAATGCACTCTCTGAACCTGCTGAGTAGGCCATATAATCATAACATTTTGCGCGAATCCTCATTTTCAACAGCTCCTTTATCATGTCTGGTCCATATCTTTATCAGCCTATTCTTTTATCTCACCTCTCATCACCATTGCTTTGTTGGATTGGTGAAGATTATAGAGGAGTTTGGATCATTCAATGAGTACTGTTGGAGCTTTGTGAGCCACAGACCAATAGTGAGCCGATTCCGTTACCCTCGTCAGATCCCCGTGAAGACCCCCAAGGCAGATTCAATCAGCAAGGACCTTGTGAGGAGGGGTTTTCGTGGAGTGGGGCCCACAGTCATATATTCGTTCATGCAGACGGCAGGGTTGACCAATGATCACGTCGTCGGCTGCTTCAGGTTCGACGAATGCGGCGAAGCTGCCAACCTAAAACCTCGAGGTTGCAGTGAGAGCTCGAGTTGCGGAGAAGAACGGAAAGAAGATATTGTTTTAGACATCATAGCAATGAATTTAGAGAGCAAATAGGTAGAATGCGAGAGCTGTTGTTGTTTCTGGAATACTAACCCTTTCTCGACATTAAAAAAAATGTGGTCCTGTTATGCATGAAGTGATGGTGAATCCTCTGAAATGTTAAATTTTTTTTTTAGATTTTAAACCAGGCCAACACAATTTTGTTATTAAGTGTAAACTGGAGAGATTGAAGTGGTTTTCTGCTAAGTTGAGAGCATTCTGGTTTGACAGCAAATCAAAAGTATTATTCATTTTAAGAAATTGTTTCCTGCACTTGCTGAAGTGAGAAGAATCTGCTGAATTTTGCACTGTAAATTCTGTAAATGTCAGCCGAACACTTGAATTAATGTCTTAGTTTGTTTTGTTGTTTTATTTTTAAATTATGGGAAAGTTTTACTTTAACCAAAAAAGAGAGGCTTTTCTTGTGTTATGAAATGGATACATAGTGCAATATGGTCAGAACGGCGTATGTGCCCTTTGGGCTGTCTAACGCCCTGAGGTGCCACCAGAAGCAGAATCTCGTATTTCTTCCAGAGAATCTCTTAATTGTTCCAGAACAACTAGAAAGAGATTCTTTAACCAGAAAGGATTCAGTTCAGATGTAGGATACTTATCCAGAAGTTTTCGAAATTCCATCATGTATGATGGAATCATCAAAGATTTGATCTTTTCTAACTCTATTGATAGAGTCAACATGCTTCTTTTTTTGTTTTTTTTTGCATTGAATTCTTTTTTTTTAATTATTGTAGATTCTCAAAAATTATTAGAAAAAGAGGAGGACTTGATGAATATTCGTTCGCTGGAACCCGAAGTGAAAATTGTTGTAGACAGGAATCCTATAAAAACGTCTTTCGAGGAATGGGCCCGGATTCGGGTCCACAACCATGGGTTCCAATGCGCGAGATCTTGCATCTTCTTCATCTCTCCCACATTTCTCTTTGTATGAATATTTAACATTGACCAATGAAATTTTTAATGATTGACCGTTCAATGTGAATTTCCATTGAAAATTTCAATGTTTCAATAATGAAATTCTATTCATATTGAAGTAATTTAAAGGAAGTTCAATTAAGTCAAGTTAAAAAGAAAGAAAAATAAAGTAGTATTCCTTTTAGTACTAGTAATTTTACTACTTCATTTTGGATCGACTTCGTTCGCTATGGAATTTCTAACTCTTTTCTTTTTTGAATTATTAGAATTCGAATGACTTCGAAGTACTAGAATCTAAAATGAAGTGTTGAGGTATAAATTTGATGTTCAGAGGGTTCAGGTTTGCTTGATATTGCTTTCAGACTATTTTTTTTTTTTATAAAAAAATAATTTAAAAAGTTAATGTGTGTTTGAATAACAACATTTTCATATTTTTGGAGAAAATTTAAGCAAATTTAATTGCAAACACACAAATAGTGTAAGATGCAAAATCTTGAATTCAGGATCTCAAAGTTGAAGTTCTCAACAAGACTAAATAATATAAAAAATCATAAATATTTATTATATCTGAAAATTTAGGATTAAATTAGAAATATCTAACTTAAATTTTACGATGAATAATTTATTTTTTTCTTATTTATTTATTTGGAGTCACATAAGCTGAACCAAATCGAACGAGTCTATTCATGCTTGCCTTGTTAAAATATTGAGTTCAAAATATCTATCTTATAATGATCGATTCGTTTGATGAATGATTAAGACACATGTTTTTTTTATCAAGCCAAATGTGAGCTTTTCATGAATGATGAGTTTTTTTGATAGTTATATAAGTTGTGATGGTAATGCTTTTATTTTATTTTTATTTATTGTCTCCGTGGACTCTGAAAAATTTCAAGGCCCTGCAAACTATTTTTGTTGAGTTGAGATAGCTTTGAGGGTCAAACTTTCAAGAGGTAGATTGGATTGTATATAAGAAACTGCCTTGAGATTTCATGCTAATTGTGTGAGGACATTTTGATCTAGGGCTTGAGATTTCACATATGCACAAGCCAATAGGATTAATTACCCCTCCCATCTTATTAGAGATCCTACAATAGTAATTGCTTTTATGCTCTACAATCTTACATACTTCTCCTTATTCTTACTCAGTAGACAACTTGTCTCAATCTTGCCAAGGTGAATCATCGTTCTCCCTCCCTAAAATTTTTCATGCCCACATCAAAATCTAGGCAAACACAAGCCCTCACAACATACAACTACCATATATGGAGCTCCCAAGCTATTTACAATCAATGAATTTCAAGGTTCTATCCTATCCAATTTATCCGAAGAGCCACTGCCTCACCTTCCCCCAACTAAGATCACATCCTACAGAAACTCATAGACCAAAATTTGTCAACTGCCTCTATTCCACCATTTTTCCAACCATACCACCTCATGTTTTATCTATAGAATCAAATGTTGCCATCTGAAATACCCTCATCAAAAGATTTCAATAAACCCACAGCTCCAAGGTGATATAACTCAAAAGTGAACTACACCATCACAATAAAGAATTACACAATAACCTAATACATTACCCACTCAAATCCCTTATAGATCAGTTGGTAGGAACATGATACAAGTTGGATACTAAAGATATTATTCTCTACATTCTCAATGACCTTTTCTCTAGTTACCAATCATTCAAAACTGCTACCACGACTAGACTAGAGCCAATTTATCTTGATGATTTATACTCTTTTCTTTATAATGAAGAAATAAACCTACAAAAAAAAAAAAAAAATTCAAACAACCGCCTTCTTTGCCTTATTATCCGACTTTGGTTGCAAAACTAAATCAATTATGACTGTGAAACACACTGTCAATCTCAACGCCATTCAAAGCATAACAACAACGACAAAAATTCCAAATCCTCACATATTTTCCAAATCGGTGGCAAACAATGTGAGTCTGAACTAGTTTGTTGGCATCATATCAACTCATACACTTCAACAACGTCAAACAACACCTCAGCACTCACTGCCAACTCCTCCCCCACAACAAAATATTGGCTTTTTCATACAAGTGCAACCTCCCCTCTCATTTATGATTACTCTCAACTTTAGTAGCCAACAAAATATCATGGTCCTGAATAACTTATCAACTCATACACTTCAACAACGTCAAACAACACCTTAGCACTCACTGCCAACTCCTCCCCCACAACAAAATATTGGCTTTTTCATACAAGTGCAACCTCCCCCCTCATTTATGATTACTCTCAACTTTAGTAGCCAACAAAATATCATGGTCCTGAATAACTTATCATTGGTGATTGAAATTCACTTCCTATCCCAAAGTGGTCGTGGCATACCTATCCCATCTTGTAAGCTTCTTTTATTTAGACTACTTCATGTACCCTCCTTATCACACAACCTTCTTTTTGTCCAATACTTAACTAATGATAACTTGCTCAATTCACTTTATTTCTAATTGTTTTAAAATCAAGGATCAAACATCAAAAAAAATACCACAATTCAGTCAGAGTAGTCTTTATCCAAAGCCACAAATTTAATTATTACAATTCACTATAGTTTCAATTAACTTATGACACCAAAGACTGGAATATTGACACAGTTTAGTAGTCACAACCATATCTCAACAAAACCCAACCCTTCATATTTCACCTTATGCTTCTTCTTCAATGCATGTAGGGTTTCTAAAAGCCATAAATTACTTTTTTCCTATTTCATCTAATTTGTCCAAGCAATTGTTTGCTTTAGTACACTTAGATCTATGGGGCCTTGGCCTGATTCCCTCATCTAATGGCTATAAATAGTTTGTCATTTTCATTGATGTCCATTCTAGATACAGTTGGTTTTGTAGTGGTTACTAAATCAAAAACTACATAAGTTCATTTCAAATCATAAATTAATTATCAATCAATTCCTTAGCAGCATCAAATCTCTATGATCTGATGAAGGATGAGAATACACCTCAAATTAATTCAACATATACCTTCACTCTCATGGTATAATACATAACTTTGCCTGCCGATATAAGCCTGAACAAAATAGTGTTAGCGACGCATGCACCACCACCTCGTAGATACCACTTGCACACTATAGTGTGATGCATATCTCCCATTATCCCTAGGGCTCTATGCCTTATATCCACCATAGTCTACATCATCAACCGACCACCCTTTAAAACTATTGAAATTAAAACTTCCTACTTGTTACAAAAATCTAAAACTAGCTAACAACACTCATTTATGTATATTTGGATACTCTTGTTTTCTCTAGCAAGAACCAACCTCGCTATACAAACTAGCACTGCGTCAACCCACCATGTGTTTCTCCATTATTCTGCAATGGTTAAAGGATACTACTTCCTTGATCTTTCTGCAAACAAATTAATCATTTTTAGACATGCTGTATTTCACAAAAATCAATATCCATATTTCTCATTACAAAAAATCACCACAAGAAACAAACATCACCCATCCCTCCCTTAATTTTGGTTCCAACTTCTGATACCACCCTTCAACTTGCACATTCGTCAACTTAACCATCTCACCAATTGCCATCCCCAATCCAACCTAACACAAATACCTCCACGTCTAATCTCTTACCAACCTCACAAAACTCTTCTCTCTCCTATTACCCACACAACATGCACCACCCTCTCATACATTTCACCTTATGACCGACTATTCTTAGACAGAAACCTAAATGTAGAAACAACTTAAATCTCACTTATCATCTAATCACCTACCCAACAAACTTCACTCAATCTTTTAAAGACATTCGACGGAGATAGGCTATGTCCAATGTGTTTACGGAACTTAACAATAAGGAATCTGAGATCTTGTTAAACCCCCACCAAATCAATCCATCTTGGGGTGCAAATGGACATTCAAAACTAAATTCACCCCAATGGATCCAAAGCTCATCACAAATCTTGTTTGGTCACTTAGGGGTATCCACACGAATGACAAATTATGAGGAAACATTCGGTCTAGTTTCCACGATGCCTATAATTCATGATTTTCTCATGGTGACTCTCCAATTTGACTGGCAAGTAAAACAGATCGATGTTTCCATTGTCGTTCTTCATGGCACAAGCCTAGACAATATATTTTACATGACATAATCTCTAGAATTTCTAGACACACCACCTCAATTACATATGTCGAATGAAAATCATCTATGAACTTAAGCATGCTCCAAGGCTGTGATTCCCCACTTTCTTTGGATATATCATAGAACAAGCTTTATTCTCTGCTCAACGACCTCTTATTACTCATATACACCTCTACCTATCAACACATCTATCCTTAAGGAGATAATACTAGTTTCATCCAACAATTCATCCAAAAATTTCATTATCATTTTAGTCTAGAAGTGGGTCCTATCTCCACCTTCCTTGGCCATCAATGAATTTGTGTGGCGATCAACGACATTGATTGGAGGTCCATCATTGATTACTGCTTTCTCATTAGGCACATACCCATTCTCTAGAGAGTTTTGACACAAAAGACTGATGTTTGGCCCTCAACATAAGTTGAATACCGCACGCATGCTAGCAACTAGCCAACCACAACCACAGAGATCGTGTTGCTTCATTGTCTCATACAAAATCTCAAACTACCCTTGGCTCCCACAACACCTCCACAATCACTATAGCCTACAATACTATCTTCCATTTCATGCAGGACCACATTGTGCTGAAAACCCTTCTACCCTGTCATTTGACCACACAAGATCAAATAATAGATACACTCACTACAACGCCTATCTACATCCATATTTTGCAAGTTAAGGGATAAACTTAAGATTTATCTTCTTGAATCCTAAGTTTGAACGGAGGGGGAGGGGTAAGGGGGTGTGCAAACAACATTTATACACATAACAAACAATACGAGAAGCAATCATCCCCTACTGTCCTTCTGTCCTTAGCAATAACTACCTCAATAAAGTATAACCATACATTACAATATATTCCCATATACCAAATGATATATATACTACAAATCAATAACTATTCTACATATACATAAATGAACACTATTCAATCTACATCTTTATCTTTTATGGTCTATTCCTTCTTTAATGCATTCAAACTTCTATTCTGAACAAGTTCCCAGAAATAAACAAATGCCTCATTCGCTCATGCAATATCCTATTTAATTCTTTTTTGGTGTATTATGTAGGGCCCCTAACAACATAAACACACATAACAAATAATAAGAGAAGTGGTCCCTCACTCTCCTTGTGCTTTTAGCAATAATTACCTCAATACATCACAACCACACATCACAATATATTCCCATATAACAAATGATACATATACAACATATCTATAACTATTCCACATATACATAAATGAATACTATTCAATTTACATCGTTATCTTTCTAGTCTATTTTTTCTATAATCTATTTAAACATCTATTCTGTACGGGTTCCAGCAAAATAATATTATATCTCTCATGCAACATCATATTTATTTCTTTTTTTGAGTACATTAAGTAGGGCGACCCTAACAACATATATACACATAACAAACAATACGAGAAGTGGTTGTCCCTTATTGTCCTTAGCAATAATTACCTTAATAAATCACAACCACATACACAATATGTACTCATATACCAAATGATATATTCAAAACAAATCTATAACTATTCCACATATACATAAATGAATACTATTCAATTTACATCTTTTTTGGTCTATTCCTTCTATAATCTATTCAAACTCTACTCTGAACAAGTTCCAGAAATAAAGTCACAAAATAATGTTTCATTCGCTCATGCAATATCATATTAATTTCTTTTCTTGTACATTAATTAGTAATTAAAAAAATATTAATTAGTACAGAATCCATGCATCAGCACTACAAGCTATTTCCCGCTTCTAATTTTTCAAATCCATAAAAGTACAGATTCCTATCATCAACGGTAACTTTATACTTCCTTGCTCTCATTCATCCCATTTGAATGAATATTGTCCTTTACAAGAAAATAACATAATTCCTCTACAATGCCATAGCTGTTTTCCAAAGCAGGAAGGTGAGCAATTCCTTCATGAGAGGCTTAACAATCTCCTCAACTTCTTCTGGAAGAAACAAAGCAAAGCATATGTGTGCTCATTGCTGAGGTAAATTGCATTCCTAAATTTCTAACATACATGAAACAACAGGTATGGCTGTGAAGGTTAATGAGGAAGACTTTCGTATGTAAAAGTGCCGTCGAAGCAGTCGAAGAGGGTGGAGTCGGTGCCTTGCGAGTTACGATGACATAGTTAGTCATATGTGTGCGAACAGTGTCGTAGTGTGAGTTAAGATTTGTGTGCTCCAGTGACATAGTGGTCGAGGGTGTAGTTTCCCATCATGAGATGACGGTTTTGAATTGTGCCTATTATCTTCTCGACTCAGCTGTCCTGCAAGAGAAGAAAGTGGGAGTTAAGATTTTACTTGGGAATTGAGAAAAAATAATGCTTATTTCATAGGATTTAACTAATCAAAAAGCACATAAAAGTTATACATTTTACACAAAAAATAGATTATTAAAGGATGGGAGAATATTGGTTTTGGATTTGTTCAACACTTTCTTTCTGTTTTGCTTTTAAGACCACCATTATAGGGTCTGTTTGGGGCAGCTTATTTGATGTGGTGGCATTTTGCAAACTTGTAAGGAACCTGTTATCCTACATTTTTTAAAAAAGAGAAAATTTATAACATCCTTCGACATTTTTATAGCCACTTTTTAAAAGCCATCAGCTATCCCAAACATATCTTCAATTTCCAACTAGGGTTTAAGAAAATATTACATGGAGATATCAAATGATTGTCCATGATTTATATATTCAAGTTTTTGATTTGAAAATGAGCTCCTCACAACACACTTTAATATAATTTAGTAGAACATATTCGCCTTGTCTGCAGCTGTAGAGGCAAACCTGTAACTGCTGTCATATAAAAAAAAAAACCAATAAATTTTAAAAATTGTCTTAATTTATAGGGAAATGTACATAAACACCATGCAATTCTTATGTATTTTCATATATATAACACCTAAAGTTTGGTTTTTTACATTTATAGCTCTTTGGTGGTATAAAATTATGCATGAAAATGTATATTTCTCTTTCAAAAATAGTAATATTTTTTATGTAACAGTAAAGATAAAAGTGCTACGTATGTACATACATGGGAATCATGTGGTATGTATGTAAATACCCCTAGCTTTTCATAAGCACATGCAACTCTTTTTTAATTGCTGTGCTGCAAAACAAGAATAAGACATACAGAATAGAAGTGTTTGTATTATCAATTAAAAAAAAAGCCAATTTTAAATATAATTAACTAAGAAAACATTTTATTCATTTGGTAATAATTAAATATTGAGAAGTAAAGCAAATAGGTGTAATAGCTGAACTTAATGATTTGGTAGTATGATTGGTTTGTTATAAGATAAAATATTATGTCCGGACGTCTAATTACAGGTGGTCACACCATCATAATTGGACAAACGGACACACAACATCCAGACGTAATATTTTTTGTATCGTATAGATTTTTGACTTCTACAATTTTTTTACTATGTTCTGATTCACTCTGATTATTTGAAATTAAAGGATATCCACAAATAGATAAGTAGAGTGGCAATTCATACACCCCTAAGTATGGAAACTTGCTCATCCATAATAGTCAATGAACCACCACCAAAAGAAAACTTGCCCACCCATTACATTGAGAAAATACTCACCCAAAATAAATGAAATATCTAACTATTTTGTCCGAGCACCCTTCAAAGACCTTTCATGTTTAAGCCTTTTATGGAAAAAAAAGTAAATAATTTGACTATTTCTTAAACATCTAACTATATAGTCCAAATATCCTTCAAAGATCTTCCATGTTTAAGCCTTTTATAGCATAGAAAGTAAATTATTTGACTATTTCTTATACGATTAGCCATAAATATGTTCTCCCAAAATAATTGAAATATCTAACTATTTTGTCCGGACATCGTACAGAGACCTTCCATGTTTAAGCTTGTTATAGCATAGAAAGTAAACTATTTGACTATTTCTTAAACGACTAGCCATAAACATTCATACATTCAATCAATAAAATGAACTAAAACTTTCTTTAGAATAAACTAATTATACATAGAATCCAAATTATTTATATGATTCACCAAAGTTTCTTTTAATAAACTTATTAAGATCTTGTAATTGAAATTTTGGGGCTTGTTTATAGTGAATAGAGAGAAATTTAAACCTAATTCTTGGCTTTTAGATAAAGCATTTCAAGTGTCTTTGAAATTTGAGAATCCTATTGCAAATTTCTTTCAAGCAGTCAATTCTTAACCACTGTTTTCAAACCCCAATAAAGATTAGTTTGGCTTTAAAAGCATAATGGGCAAAGTGAATCGATGCTTTAATTAGCTAAAATACATATAACTAATATATTGGGTATAAAGAGTAAAAAATGTGGTTGCAGTATAGTAATTTCTAATGTCTGAATAATTTTATTATTAATATATAAAGTTAAAATATTAGATATTGTAAAATAAAAAAAAGAAAATATAATTAAAATATTAGGAAACCATCCTGTATCGTTTAAAAAAAAAGATATAGATAAAAAATAAAGTAAAATTTTGAGTAAATGTGAATCCAAACTAAAGCTCAGCAATGATAGTGTGATACTTGCAAAATTGAACTTGATCTTGGCTTCTTAGAGCGTGTCAAATGCGTGCACTGCATCAAATTCATACTACGATGTCGAATGCTTTTGCATTTGCATGGAATGCCTCGTTTTCTTGCTTGAAACACACTGTTCGCGCGCAATAGCCACGCTACAGCAATGCGAAACTGAACGCATGCCTATACGTCGAGTCGCGTGCGAAGCACACATTTAAAAACAACATTCTTAACTCATTATTTTTAACTTTTCTTTGTAAAATTTAAGAGCAAGCATTTAATAGCCATAAATATAGATCAATTTCAACTATTCTCTTAATAGAACACTAGATGTTCAAGCGAAGCACAAACCACAACTCTTATATAATATATTTGTTGACTAAGATGAACATCATGATAGGATTTATTAGAAGTTGACATCCTCACATTTATCATTTGATGAGTAAAGCACACAAATTGGTCTCCAATTGATGAAGTTTCACTTGGGAAGTTACTATGAAATTAATATTCATCCAAGTAAAACTTAATCAAAATCATCAACATTCTTCATTGCACATTAAATCAGATTATTATAGGAGATCATTGAAAACAATTTATAAGTTATATAAGTTGATAAATGAATAGATAGGGGCAAATAAGGTTCATGATGACAATATAAATTATAACGTTTAATGCAACGATCATACATATGATGTTTATGGCAAACAACCAATAATTTTTTATAAAATTATTAAATTTGTGAAATAAAATTTTTAATATTTGACTGAGATTATCTATAAATAATGAGGTTTTTGGACAAAACACTTTCATGTCTAAAATGCTTCAAAAAAAACTTAAGAGCAAACATTTGGTGAGAGCCTTAAAGATGGATGTACTGCAAAATTTTCATTTTTGTGTTTTATCTTTCATCACCAAAACATTGTAAAAAAACCAATTTTGATTTTTTTTCTACGCTTATCAATTCGAATTAGATTTCCTTAATCTTGGAAGGCATTTTAGGTTACTTGTTAACAAGTTGGGTTGAACTTTTTGGGAAAAGAGAATATGCTTGTGATAGTTTATTTGTTGGTACACGAGGAGGAGGGAATTGGTATGAAATCCTAATAAGGTGGAAAATAAGGCATGTGACTGGTTCATTTAAGTGTCGATCCATATAAAATATCGGTGTTCATTTTTCTTTACAATCTACACTTATGATTATGATTGCATCTATTTATTAACTATAGTTCAACTTTTCAAATACTTTGAGTATCACTCTAATTTTAAATTTGATTTTAATTGTATTTTGAGATTGACATGATTTGGTTGAATGAATATTGAACCCATTTAAAATGTAACAAAATATGACCATACACATAATAGGAAAATTTGATGATATTGGAGAATTCTTGCATTTAAAAGTTCTATAAAAAAACATTAAAAAATTAACCATATCAACAAGTGTTTTGATATAATTCAAATTTTAACACCAATTACTTGTTATCAATTCAGTTGATTTACCATGGCCTCTCAATTAAATTAATACTATCAACCCCAGTAAAGTTGCACCCTTTGAAATTTGCATGAAAAGAACCTTCTAATAAGGAAATGCATCATACCTGGTTGTATGTTTTAGAAGGCATAAGTCTGTTAGTTTTAATATTATTTATATAAGATATATTTTTATAAAATATATATGAATCTATGTAATCAAAAGAGTTTCAAATGGAATTTCTAGAGCAAATATCGCACACTATTTGACTTCATGCACTTTCTCAAGACCATGGTGTAAAGAGTTTGCTCACAGAGCTGCAGTGCATGTTGTCTTATATTACTGACATGTATGAAAATAATAATCCCATTCTCTTATACATCAACCAATATGCTATCACTATTAATGGAAATATAAAGGAGAGAGTGAAGTGCAAAGTAACTGTGGCTGCAAGGAAAACATCGTAGAAGAACTTCTCTGAATTGCGACAGCCAACTTCTTCGCACATGTCGCAACTCAACAATTTCTTGCAGATAAAACAAATGAAAGATTCAATGAAAGCCTGCAATTCCTCAACAAAAGTAATTAACTGCTCTGAATTGTTCCCCGCAGTTATCAGTACTGAAGGAATGAGCATGAGTTTTGATTCGGGGAACAGAAGTAATTGTGAGATCCAAACATTTTTGAGTGTTTATATGTGGAAAGAAGACGGAGAAATCGGGTGCTGGTTGTTACAAAGGTTCGGAGTGCTTTTCATGTAAATATAACGGTTTATGTGTGAAATATGTAATTATGAGCGTTTAGAGTGCTATATATATATGTAAATCCCCTCTTTTTTTAAATTGGGTATAGTTAGGCTATCTTTGAACCGACCAGACTAAGAAACTCTTGAATTGGTAATTGATTAAGCTCTAGAAATAAACCAACAAAATAACTCACCCAATACAAGGTCAGAGTTATTTCAGAATAGAATACAAAGATAGATCGATATGACTAGACGACGACGCAAAAGTAGGACGAAAATCCCCACACTACACCCCTCTTCTCCAGCTTCTTATGATGATCGAAAATTGTGACATGTTTTACATATGCTAAATTTAATTTCATGTTTAATACTCATTTTTCTGATATTGCACTTTAATGAAAATTATTTTCATGCCTTTGGATGGTGGTATGATAGGAGAAGAAACTAGATCGAATTGGATCGAAATGTGAGCGAAACGGAGCAGATTGGGCTAAGGAGAAGATTCTTGATATGGCGCCTAAG